ACCAGTTGTCACCTGGCAGAAAGATGGAGTCCCAGTAACTGCTGGAGGGAAAATTTCCCTCATAAAAGAGAAACCGCAATTGATCATCCGAGTAGCTAAAGGAGTGGACAGTGGAAAATATTCTTGCACGGTTGAAAACAATTTCGGGAAAGACAGCTTATCCTCCATAGTCAGAGTAATGGGTAAATGTTTAATCCAGGTTTTTTGAGGTTATTGTGGCAGATTAACCGCCATTCGTTTAGTATAAGAACGAAGCGTTACAGGTCCGATATTTAACGTGTAAATTCCAAAATGCCTAACGTATCTTTAACGAACTCTTTGCCTCCTCACAACTTATCGCTAAAGGGTTTCAAAACTGGGGTGATAAGCCCCATTCCTATCCTGCTATAAGACGAGTAGTGCATTGTCTGTACAATGGGTCTCACAAAAGTTGTGTTTTTTTATGACCTTCCCAGGACCTTCTAAGCCTAAAATAAAGATTCCTGAGAAACCAAGGACGATAGAAGCTCAAGATCAAAGTCCCATCACTTTGACCATTGCCGATAACCTAACAGCACTTGTCAATACAAGCATTACCATTCAGTGTCTCACCAGCGGTGTACCAACACCAACTGTCACCTGGACAAAAGATGGTGAACAAATCCCCAGTGATGGCAGGTACACAGTTCAAGATGATGGTTCATTGCTGATCAGTGACGCTAGTGAAGAAGACAGCGCTCAATACACGTGCACTGCAGATAGTGTTGCTGGTAAAGACAGGGTATCAAGCGCGGTGAAGATTGTTGGTAAGGGTACTTTGATGATTTTGTATTACCTGTTCAGGTACAATCTCTCCTTGTGTAAAGTTAATATCTTGTAGAATATTGAAGTTCATTATGTCTTCCTGTATGGTACCTTTACTTTGACGCCTACTCGTGTTGTTACAATACCTCTTGTTATGTTTAGTGCATCGTGTTATAATCTGCATGGCAAGCCGTCAAATTTGTCCCGGAAACAATCGGCACAGAATGACGTAGCGTGGGATCCCCCAGAATGAGATGCTAATCTATCGCAGGTTACCAGCAGCATTTTTGTACGTTATGCATTCGTCCGCACAAACTTATATAGCTGTGTAGAGAGAACCCTGTGCGAAAGTAAAATAGCAGGTATAGTGTTTATTGTATATATGCTCAAGAAGACAACGCGAAAGGAATGTCCAAGGCACGAAACCTGTAGATCCTCTCTAACCGATAGGGTTTCTAGTATCACATATTTTGCTGTCGCTTGAAAGACTGACGCAAATTTGTAGTAATCGGGCTATTATTAAATCACACAGAGCCCGTTAAACCCGCGATCGATGTCCGCAAGATTGGAGTTAAGATTCCTGTTGGCGATGGCAGTCCAGTGACTATGAACGTTGGTGATAACGTGACAGCAGCTTCAAACACCACCATCACCATCAGGTGTCCAGTTAGTGGCGTACCAACACCATCTGTTACCTGGCATAAGGACGGAGCTCAAATGTTTGAACAGGATAGAGTAACATTCATTGCCGATAATAATTCTTTGGTTATTGAAGTAGCAATGGTGGTGGATAGTGCAAAGTATACCTGTCGTGTTCAAAGTGTGTTTGGAATGGATGAGGTGTCTTCTCAAGTTACTCTCATTGGTAATTTAATTGTACACTTGATATCAAATTTTGCCCAAAATAGAATTTGCCGGTTCTCCGGGTCGTGAAATCATTTTTAAAGAAAAAACTTAGCAAGCTAACTAAATCTAAAAGACTTTTCAGACAGGACTGGCGTAAGAAAAAAAAACTGTTTTTTCCGTTCAGATGAACTCACTCAAGTTATATCAGAAATTCTGCCATAGTTTTTAGTTGCAAAAGGAGATCATGATGAGATTAACTCGCGACTGACAAGTTTGCCGGATATTGATAACTTTCCCTAGAACTCCTTTCCAATAAATAACCCAACTGGAAGTGATTTTACACTTACACAAAGTAACTCCCTTTCCCACGGGTAATTCAGTTAGTAGTAACTTGCAATCCATTGTTATCATAATTAGACATACTTAGATTTACAACTAACAGTTTGATATCCATACAATTTTTGTCAGACCCAGTGCGACCACACATTGCGTCTTCACTTGGAGATGTAACGTCATTTAGTCAAGATTTAGTGAACATTACCATTGGACAAAACCTTCTCACCATAATCGATACTAAGTTGTCAATTCATTGTGAGGCAAGTGGTGTTCCTGTTCCTAAGATTGCTTGGACCAGAGGAAACGAGACTCTTCCTTCAGATGGTCGGATGAGTGTTCAAAACGGAACTCTCGTCCTAGTTGAAATGGAAACTTCTGACAGTGGAAACTATACATGCACCGCAGAAAATACCGCAGGAAGAGCTTCAGTGTCTTCAAACGTAACCGTTGCAGGTAAGCAAGTACAATTTCACATCCTGCTGGTGGAAAAATCTTATGCAATCATGGTCTAAGTCGTTTTTTTTTCTGTTTTCGTTCAGTTCCTACACCGCCAGAAATCATTCGGAAAGGAATTGAAGATGTACAAGTTCTTGAGCCGAAATCAATAGAGGCTGTTATTGGAAGCAGAGTTCTCACAATCAGTGGGAACAATGTGTCAATATCTTGTGGTGTCAGAGGTTTTCCAACTCCATCCGTTGAATGGACTAAAGATAGTGTTCTGTTGGAAGCGGAAGGATCCATTTTAAGCCTATCATCTGTAGACTCTAATGACACTGGTTGGTATACGTGTACGGCAACAAGTCCTGTGGGTTCGTTCGATTCGCAGGGTACAAACCTGTTAGTATTAGGTAGGTGTTACTTTACACAGAGGCATTTAACAAAATGTAAACATTTGGGAGCGTTGTTCTTTTTCTTCTAATTTAGTTCATCTTTCATCGATTTTTATGGTAACTGAGCTTATGAGGGTCTGTTAACTTACATTCTTCTATTGAAGGACTTGTGAGATCATTCATTTCTACAAAAAAATTATTTGGGGTTATCCGAAATCAAAGGAGACATCTACAGTTGCATGAGACTAACGAATAAACCGTTTACCATCTTGTGATCTTTTTCTCGCCTAATTCTGATTGAAAATATGCGTCATGGAGCAGTGAACAGAAACGTTGCGCGATGACTCGAACTAATATTGCGTCATCACGAACAAAGTGGCTTAGTCCGTAACCACCTCTTATGTCTGGCCGTCTCTCTCCGTTTTCCTATTTCAGCCATTCAGCTTCCCAAAATAATAACTAATAAAGATGACGTTGAAGTGCTCAAGATCGAGAACATATCAGTTCCCGTCGGAGGTCTAGTAACAACTCTAGCTGATAACAGAGTCAGTATGGTTTGCGAAGTCAGCGGAATTCCAGCCCCTCAGGTCACGTGGGAAAGAGATGGAGTGGAAGTGCAAAGGGGCGGCAAGTTCTACACTATAGACAGCACCAGTCATGGCAATAACGGAAACTACAGCTGTATTGCTAGAAACAGTGCTGGAGAAGTCAAAGCGACATCACAACTTAAAATCCTGGGTAATTATGCATTAAGTTATTTTGCTGTTAAAATACAAACTCTCATTGTTAGCTTGCGCGAGTCCGCTGGCGGTGTCTGTATCATCCCCAGTCTGTACGTTTTTCTTGTAAGAAACGACTTGGGACTAGTCACCAGCAGTGGTATTTAATTCACTGATTAAGAGTTCGACCACAGAGGAAACCCTAGTGACAAAGGTGATACAAATGTCATTGACTACTTCCGATTCAAAGCGTTTGCGGAGTAGCTAATTTCGCGGGATCGTCAACTTTGGCATGTGTCATTAGCCCACATAGTATTCATCCGTACTTAACATCTGCATTCCACATCTCCACATATGAACAATAGCGTTATCACAGAAAGTTTCATTTTGGGGGGGTAGGCTCGTAGTGGGTAAATTAATGTGCCCCTTTCGACTCTACAGCTCTCTGAGTTCACTATCCGAGAACCGTTTTGCTAACCACTCCTAAGCTATTTAGAAGCTGAAATTGTTATTAGGGTTAACAACATTTAATTGATGTCGTTTTGATTTCATTGACTAGCTGGTTCAGCTCCTAATATCAACGGGTCACGTGACAGCAGGGTTCATCTGAGAATCGACTTCTTCGCAATAACAGTTGGAACCAATCTGACCACACTGGCCAGCTCAGGACTGGAAATCAGTTGTCCTGTCACTGGATTTCCCAAACCTTCTATTCAGTGGTACCGAGAGGGTGTCCCTGTAGAGCCTGGTATGANAGGCTCGTAGTGGGTAAATTAATGTGCCCCTTTCGACTCTACAGCTCTCTAAGTTCACTATCCGAGAACCATTTTGCTAACCACTCCTAAGCTATTTAGAAGCTGAGATTGTTATTAGGGTTAACAACATTTTAATTGACGTCGTTTTGATTTCATTGACTAGCTGGTTCAGCTCCTAATATCAACGGATCACGTGACAGCAGGGTTCATCTGAGAATCGACTTCTTCGCAATAACAATTGGAACCAATCTGACCACACTGGCCAGCTCAGGACTGGAAATCAGTTGTCCTGTCACTGGATTTCCCAAACCTTCTATTCAGTGGTACCGAGAGGGTGTCCCTGTAGAGCCTGGTATGATGCTTAATGTGGAAGAGGACACAGGGACACTATTTACACTAAGTATATCTCATCGGAAAGGAGGAGAGTTCACGTGCAAAGCCAGTAATCCATTGGGATCGGACAGCGCTTCATCTTTTGTTACTGTACTTGGTGAGAATGGTTTTTCAGAAGTTTATAACGATAGCTGTAGACGGGGTGTTCCGTTATTAGTATTGCGTGTACAAACGCCTCACTTAAGAAAAATCTTCATATGGCAACCTCTGTTGTTTATGAGTGATGGACTTAGTGCATGCTGTTTATGGTAGTTCTGTGACATCACTTGAGGGGAAATGTATGTAAACGTGGTTTAGAATTCTCCATAAAGGTCATCTCTGTTGCTTGATGTAGTTGAGACAGGAAGAATGAACAAGATGACTAGAGAATCGATTAAAGTCTTACAAAACCCACGTCAAGCTACCTTCACAGCTTTATGGAAACAGAATATTTTCCATGTTCTTGTTGTTTGGATGAGTGAAGTTTTCTATATACATTGAACATTATGCTTAGTCTAAAATTCTCTGCTTATCTGCTTTCTAACCCTGTAGTTCCGGGAGCACCGCAGATAAACGTATCCCGTGTGGCTGTACGGTCCCTGGATAACCGAGAACCCGTCTCTATAAGAATTGGACAGGCATTGTCTGTCCTGAGTGGAACTCAAGTATCCATTGAATGCCACGTGAGTGGGGTACCTCAGCCAGATGTCACTTGGAGTCGGCAAGATAACAACATGGGCACAGATGGTCGTGTGCTCGTCAAGGACTCGGTTTTGATAATCACAAACGCGACTAAGGCGGATACCGCTGTGTATCTGTGCAAAGCTGTGAACCTTGCCGGAGAAGTTGGGGCCAGTTCCATGGTAAATGTAACAAGTAAGTCAGTGTATTGCATAAATTATGAATCATATCGCTAAAAGCTTCACGATAAACAGACACCACAACTTAACTTTGCATTCGTGTTATTGTCAACCGCTTGGGCATCAAGTTTGATGCACACTTTTGCTTATAGATTAAGAATATATTCCCCTTGAAAATTAGTTACATTCTTGTTTGTTACAAAACATCAACTCCCCGCTTCACAGTTGTTTGGTCTTCCTGCTTAATTTTTTTTCCACTACAGGAATTTGGAGCACGATATCATGCTGAAAATAACTCCCTCCTGTGAGCTGGTAGTTAGAAATAGTGAGGAAAATAACGTTTAGCTTGAGTGAATTTATTTGTTCTTTGTGGTCAGAATTAAGTTGTTCATGTATTCTTGAAATCGTTTCAGAAACCTCTTCGCCCGTAATCTCTACCGCTGACCAGTCTTTGCAGATCCTTCAAAGTGGTTCATTCATTGTGGATGTTGGCTTCAGTGTCACGATAGTCGCTCGTAACGCGTTATCCATAAGATGTAACGCAAGTGGTGTACCAACGCCTCAAATCTCTTGGAGTAAAGATGACAGATCACTGGATACCAGAGGCTCATTGTACACTATAAGTTCACTTGCTCTATCCGACTCTGGTCGGTACCAGTGCACCGCATCCAACATAGACGGAGCAGATAACCAAGATATACGGATCAATGTCTTGGGTAAATAAACAAATAAACAAATAAATAAATAATTTCTTTTCAGCGCTAAGATAATCTAAATAGCAAAAGTAGTCATATTTTGATAAAGAATTTGCACAGTTTCCATAGGAGCCTTCATCCTTTCCGATCAAGACAAAAACGGATATGATACATCTGGTAGCACCTGATTATTAAGTGGCAAAATGTAATAACAAAGATGCGGAGAAGATGCGTGTTAACCTAACTTTGAAGAAATCACCAACACGTGCTCACTGGTTTTTGGCAAATGAGCATATTTTACTCCTTCAAACAACATTTTTGTTCTTTCTTTAGATGGCAGTGCACCTAGAATAACAGGTCCAAAGATAAATATCGCTGCAATCAGCGGAGAAAAACAAGTCAAGATAGTAGTTGGTGGAAACATAACCACTATCATTGGAACCAGTGTTGAAATCCACTGTCCAGTGACAGCCCTACCCAATGCAACGGTCACGTGGTTGTTCAACGGCTCGACAGTCAAAAAGGGAAATCGTCGGTTACTAAAGTTGAAGAGTTCAGCACTCACCCTAAGTGATGTCACACCAGAGGATATTGGTTCTTATACCTGCCGTGCCAATAATTCTTATGGAAAGGACACAAGGACTACGTTCATGTCTCTTATAGGTTAGTATTGAACTGTGCGTGAGCTAATTAAACAGTAGCCTCCACTTAGCGCAAAAATACGCTCGGATATTTGTCCGCGGACATTGTCTGTTCCGGGAAGCGAACAGAGCGTAGCTTGAGAACTATGAGCTTTGAAGAACAGATAATGCCCAAGGACAAATATCCAGCATATTTTCGCGCCAAATGGAGGCTATTGTGTTTACAGTATACTTCAAATTGGGGAATATCACTAGGATATTCCCCAGTCTTAGCCGGGGAATATGCAGTCTCGTGACGCGTTTAGCCTAATCGCGAGCGAGCGAAAATATTTGATGGATGATAATGAATAATATTTGCTGGGCAAAATGAATTGTTGGCATTGGTCTTCTTCCAACAGAACTAAATTCGTCACTAGAGCACTGTCATGGAACCTCATGACCGCAATTCATTTATTCCCGAAAGAGATCGATAAACATGAAAACGTGTGTTACAGTGTCCTCGATATTTACTCAAAAAATGTATATATGGTATACTTNCCGTGCCAATAATTCTTATGGAAAGGACACAAGGACTACGTTCGTGTCTCTTATAGGTTAGTATTGAACTCTGCGTGAGCTAATTAAACAGTAGCCTCCACTTAGCGCAAAAATACGCTCGGATATTTGTCCGCGGACATTATCTGTTCCGGGAAGCGAACAGAGCGTAGCTTGAGAACTATGAGCTTTGAAGAACAGCTAATGCCCAAGGACAAATATCCAGCATATTTTCGCTCCAAATGGAGGCTATTGTGTTTAGAGTATACTTCAAATTGGGAAATATCACTAGGATATTCCCCAGTATTAGTATAGTTTTTAGCAGTGTTCCCTAATTAGTATGGTGTTTTTATTCCCAGGCTATAAAGTTTTTTTTTTTCTTGACACTTTTAATAAAGTTCTCACTCACACACTCACACTCAGTCTTAGCCGGGGAATATGCAGTCACGTTAGCCTAATCGCGAGCGAGCGAAAATATTTGATGGATGATAATGAATAATATATGCTGGGCAAAATGAATTGTTGGCATTGGTCTTCTTCCAACAGAACTAAATTCGTCACAGTAACATTGCACTTATTCTTGAAAAGGTTTAGTAGATCACTAAAGCACTGTCATGGAACATCATGACCGCAATTCATTTATTCCCGAAAGAGATCGATAAACATGAAAACGTGTGTTACAGTGTCCTCGATATTTACTCCAAAAATGTATATATGGTATACTTGCTGAAAGTTTCCCACTCCTTTGACTTTACAGCATTGCACGATGCTTAGAGGCTACAGTTTATGCGAGCTCTTTAGATCACAAGCATAAAGAAATAGAATTCATGAACCCTTGTGTTACTATGCATGTGGTTAACATCGACAATTTCACTGAGAGCGTTTAAATGCCGTTAAGGATTTGCCGGGTTTCTACTGACGCAAAGTATGAAGGATAACGTAAGTGAGTAGCATTGCATGAAGTCAGCCGGAGTGTCCTGTCAGTTTGATATGTTAACAAATGAATAGACCTATAAAAACCAAAGCAAACAGTTGTGATGGAAATTTAGCCATTACAATGAGCATCGCTCTCCATTTATTTATTGTCTTTCAGTTCCAGTTGAGCCGAAGATCTTGTCTTCAAATGAAAACTTCAAGGACTTTAAATCAGTGAGACACGAGCTCGTCGTTGGTGATAATCTGGAGACTCTGGAGGGGTCTGCGGTATATGTACGCTGCCCAGCTACAGGCAATCCTGCTCCCAAGATAACATGGGAGAAATCTGGCAGTTTAGTTCTCACCAGCAGCAGCTTGCGGATTGTGAATAATACCCTTGTGCTGTTGAACGGTACATGGTCTGATAGCGGTACCTACTCGTGCACGGCTAGTAACGGAGCAGGATCCGACGAGAAATCAACTTACCTTAATTTCATGGGTATGCAAATATAACAAGATATTGGGTGGTGATCCAAACTATTAATCATGCAGGAAGGCTCTCAGCAGTTAAAAAAATGTCAACCTGATTTACCCTAACTAAAAGAGGTGTTTTCTTACAGGAACACAGTTGCAAGTTGATTGTTGCAAAATTTCAGTTGGGTCGGTAGCGTGTTCAAGTTGTACCGGATTGTAATTCATTTGTCAGTCATCGATATTGTAAGGTCTTCTTACTTGTCGAGTACTGGTCTACAAAATGCAAACATTCTGTAGTTTCCAGTTTCCTATGCCAACTTATGTTTTTGAGTTTCTCGAAATTATGCAAAGTTGACGACGTTTTAATATCAACTTGGATTTTATCGTCCGTAATGCATCGTGTCAGGGGAAGCAAGGCCTGAAGCTCTTCCTCTGGAGTGTGCGATCAATTCTTTTACCATGTAACCGCCAACCTTTCTTATAGAAAGTTCAAATTGAAGCTAAGATATTTGGAAGAAAGTTGCAGAGCAGTTTCTCCTTTTCTTATATCCATACATGTATATCTTAAAGAAGCTCAGTCACGGCATTTTGAGCTATTTTGGTGACGTACAAAATAATCTTTAAATTGAAAAATAGTAGTTTACTAAAATAGAAAAGCACCAAAGAGATGAAAATAAACCATTAAGGAACAAGGATGGTAAAAGAAGGCCAAGATTAACATGGATTACAAACAACGAACTTGAAACATTTAGGCTAAACTTTTCCAAATGAGCAAACCGTGACGTAGCTGCTTTAATTTCTTGTTTCCTTCTAGTACCAGTGAAGCCATTGATCAGAGGCGACCCAGTCGATGTCGAATCGTATAACGGACAGCCAATAACAGTAGCCGTCGGCGGTACTTTGAAAGTTCTCATGAAGACCACTGTAAACTTCCGGTGTGTGGCATCAGGGATTCCCGAACCGTCTGTCTTTTGGAACAGCAGTAGTAATGACATGCAACCAGCCAACAAATTTGACGTGAACCAGGAGGGGCGTGTACTGACCATTCATGACGTTAACACGAGAGACTCTGGAAAGTACACGTGTAGCGCCATCAACAAGGCTGGCGAGGACACCAGTGCTGCTGTATTGGAAGTCGTTGGTGAGAGTCGCAGAGCATTAGATTTTGATTCACTAACTTATTTTATTCTTATTATTTTAGTGGTGTAATTTTAACTATTTTAGTATTGTAAATCATTCATTTTTAGTATTTTAGTACTGTAGGCTCATTCTTGTTTAGTGTCTCCAGTTAATCCGCTAGGGTTAAATACTTTGACACTTAAATAAAGGTTCTTATCTCATCTCATCTCATTCTTTTCTGCTTCTTACTTACTGTTTCTTACTTAAAGACATCATATCAACTTCTAATAGATACAGTAAAGTGACTGGTCGTGTATTATATTTAGAGACTAGTGATTCAACCTGTTTAGGCAGCGAAAGTCAAATCAGAATTATACAATTGATATAGGACGATTGACAAATATCGTCACAACTGGTCTGGCTACTTTTAGATTAAACGCGGTGCACTTGAAGGGAATATCATTTGAAGCGTTACCAAGAGAATAATTCTGCTTGGTTTGCAGAGCCCACTCTCCCTACAATAGTCTCATCAGACGCTACTCTTTCATGGTATAACAGAGAATCTAGAACACTTCCGGTTGGAGGCATAGTGGAGGTCCTGTCCGGAACGGAAGTGACGTTAGCTTGCGAGTACTCAGCGTTTCCTGAAGCTGATGTTAAGTGGACTGTTCTGGATGAAGAAGGTGATCCTTTGCCCGACGCAGGATATGAGATTGTTAACGGCTCACTTGTACTCATGGCCTTACAGCTCTCAGATTCAGCGCAGTATGTCTGCTCCGTAACAAACGTGGCAGGAACAACTTCTGCGTCCACAATACTTAAAGTCGTAGGTAAGCACTTCATTTTATTGCTCTTTTGAAATAATTCCTTCTTCGTCTTTCACTTTTATCTTCGTCCGTGGAGACAATGATGGGGAACGCAAAAAGCACTTACATTAAACTCCAAAACAACAAACATGTTTGCTGGTTTGGAACAAAGTTTTCTTAAAAACAAAAAGAGATTGTTAAAAACAAAAAAACAATTGTTGGCTTACTGAATTTTCCCATATGTTCGTTATTTCGTTATTTTTTCGTTATTTTTTCGCTATTTTTTCGTTATTTTTATCAGGGTTGTACTCCTTATATAAAAGAAACGATAGTTTTATATTCGCGCATTTGTCATTGGGGTGAACAACCATGCTACGATTTTTGTCCGCAACCTGATGTCATGAACTTTCCAGCGAAGTCTTTTTTTAGCTTGAACTACTTTGGACGCCTGCATCACTACATTTTCATTCCAAGTCACAGAGTAACTATAGTTTACGTTTTCTGATTGTTCAGTTTAAAATGCTGACAGTGAGCCATTAGTTAGTGAACGTCGTCTGAATTTTACACTACTCGGTTTTTCAATTCACAATTCACAATGTCAGTAAAGATTAACGTTGGTTTGCCTGTTTTTAACAAGATCCCCAGCCACCATTGATCAGCTCTTTGCAAGACAGCGTAGTTTCTTTATCGGATCGTACTCCTGTGGAAGTTAGCGCGGGAAGCGTCGTCACTGTTCTCTCTGGCACGCGCATTACCGTCACGTGTTCTGCTGTCGGGACGCCTACTCCGTCAGTGGCCTGGAGCAGAGGGGAGGAGCTGATTCATACGTCATCAGAAGGCAATATGACAGCTGCGCATACTGGTATCCTAACAATTGATGATGCCTCTACAAACGACACGGGAGATTACCTCTGTACCGCCATGAGTGAAGTTGGAGTTGATCAGGAGTCAACGAAAATTACAGTCATTGGTTAGATTCATTAGACAAATTATTAGGCTTTTAATAGTCTTACAGTCGACTTTCGCTATGAAGGGAACCGCTTCGAGACCATCAACTGTCTTTATTAGACAGGTCGGACAGAGAAAATAATAGAAGTATACTTAGAGACGTGTTTGTGAAGACTCGACTGTGCTAGGAGTTATTCGAAGGTTTTATATTTCAAATTAAGTAAGCGTTTTCTTTGCAAAAGAACGAAACGAGAGTAGGAAATAAAGATCAGTCGGACAGTTCTTTTAAGTAGCGTAACTACTCTTTGTAGAAATGATTAAATTTTTAGAACAAAGTCTTTTGTTATATAAGGCTCCTGTAGAACATTTATCAATGATCACGAGGTACCTTGTATCTCAAAGAGAACTAATTGAAAAGAGAAATGCACCAAACGAACACAGCTTTATCTTACATCCGACAACAAAGGTTAAATTAAAAATAATAATAGTAAATTTCTTCTTTTTGGAGAAATTTTAACTAAGAGATCTATTTGCAGAGCCTAGCAAACCGATTATTCGGCAACCGGAAGAAGAGAAGATCCCCCTTACCAACGACACTTTGGTGCAGGTGTCTGTAGGAAGTGACGTAACAGTGCTAACACAGACTCGCGTCAATGTCACTTGCGAGGTCAGCGGTGTACCAGAACCGACGATCACGTGGCTAAAAGATGACAAGCGAAAGGAGTCTGAGGAAAACAGTTACTTGGTATTGAATATTAGGAATGTGGAGGATGCTGGTCAAGTCACTTGTTATGCCAAGAATTTGGCGGGGAATGCCTCACTAAGCACAATCATTGATGTTACTGGTAAGAAGGCAGAACTCAAATGCACAAGCATAGCTCCTTACCTAAATAGCTAAAACTTTATTTACATGTTAAAAGGATTTAGCGTTACATCTGGCTTCGAATCTCCAGATTGCCAGACTAACAAATTTCAGTTCTGCAAAGAATGTTTCACTCGTTGACTGTTTTAATATGGTACATTGTACGGTTATCTAAATTTATCCATTTATTTGACCGCGTGTTTAAAGACAAACTTAGACATTTAGAGTTGGAAAGGTCGAGCTCGGCCTTTTCTTCATGTATCCACGTTTTTAAGCAAGACAGTTCAGTCTTTAGCACTTCTCTTGACTGACTCTATTAAGGACTCTCGGCACATTGTGGGGAAACGGTGCATTATGGGGAAACGGCGCTAGCTGTAGGTTATTTGTGGCTTATAAACAAAAAAACTACGTCAGTCAGACAGTCCGTCAGTCTGCCTGTCTGTCTGTCTTCCCGTGAGTCAATCAGTCAGTCTGTACTTTCTGTTAGTCTGTCTGTTGGTCTGACTCTCTCTAAGTCAGGTAGTCAGCTATCATTCAATCAGTCCGTCTCACTGTCCTTCCGTGGGCTATTTTTCCGAATTAACTGATCATAATGGTGCACGTGTTTTGGGCTTGTTTCAGAACCAGTTGTTCCTCGTATTACATCCGACTCTGGCACAATCGATGCATTGGACAAGCGTCAAGCTGTCTCGGGTTTTGTTGGTATGACTGTGCAGACGTTCACAGGTACCTCAATAACTCTGAAATGTCAAACTGAGGGATCTCCCACGCCGGTTGTATCCTGGAGCAAGAACAGTCAAACACTCGAGTCCGAGGGTAGAGTCTCCATATCTGGTGATGGAACTTTGACCATAAAAAGCACTCGAACGCAAGACACTGGGCGCTACAAGTGTACAGCCAAGAATGCAATAGGAGAGACGTCTGAAGCTTCTTCTGTTTACATTCGCAGTAAGTATTCCATAGTTAATTACGACTTAAAATATGTTCGCGGTCATTATTTTGGGGGATAAATGAAGCGATCCTTTAATTAATTGGTTAATTTGTTTTGCCTGCCTACTGAAAATTCAACAAAACTACGACACTTTCCAATTGCGATGAAGACGTTTTAAGAAATTGTTATATATTATATGGACCAATGAAAAAGTTGATAAACATGTAGTAAAAATATCAAAAGCAATATCAAGCGAGCAGGGGAGGAGAATAAAGATAATTACCTAGTCGCTAATATCGTCTTGATGTACTACGAACTTCTCTGAACTAACGACTAACAACAAGGAGGAAGAAATGCCCCTTGGACCTTAGGCACAAGAAAGACAACAGACTCCACTTTTGTTTGTTTGCAGCACCCATGTCTCCAAAAATACGGAAATCCAAGGCATATATCATCTGGTACGAAAAGCAGCCATTCAAAGGAAAAATTGGCGACAACTTAACAACACTGAAAGGCAGAAAATTAACGCTGACATGTCCTGCTGTGGGCCTACCAAAACCTACTATCACGTGGTACAGAAGTGGTATGAGAATGAAAAGTGGTAAAGACTATCTTGTGATTGGTCAAACACTGATCATGTACAATCTGGATCCTATGGACACTGACCGGTACACATGCGTTGCAAGGAACTTCGCTGGTGTCAGGACTGCCACTACTACCTTAAAAGTTCACGGTATGAAATTTCTTGGTTGTTTTGTTGTTTGGGATAATTATTATTGGGGAAGAGATATGAAGAGAACTGAAATAAGCGTTAAATGAAGTCTTAAGTAACGAAACAAAGAAAGCCGGAAAAAAATCGAGACTTCTATGGGATTTCTTGACCTTTTCGATGCAAGCGCGCGTTGTCCCTGTTGCTCGGCTACCGTGAAAACGCTGTTTTGTCTTATTTTTTGAAGTCATTCAGTTTTTAGATCGTGGTAAACGAAAAAAAAGGCAGTTCAAAATTTAGTAAGATTACCATTTGTACAATGCGGTCTCACTTGGTGAGATCTTTTTCCTAGTGTCGTTCTCTCTTTAACCACAATCAGCATAACCAGTATCCAATGATCCCGTAAGACAAGTAGTCTTGTTTTTCTGATTGTTCTCTTTACCAACTCTATTCAGGAGTCAGAGATGACTTTATCTCTTTTTGGGAACCACGTTTACTAATGATTAGAACGATGGATTTTGGATCCAAAAGTTAGGGTTCGAGCCCAGGGCGGGTTCTTGGCGAGGCACTTTCTTTTCATATTGTCTTTCTCCACACAGGAGCAGCTATCAAAATGCTAAGTAGCAATAATTATAGAAGCTTTATGCGGTAGAAACGGGAACTAAGTGCTGATATGATGGCTGATCTGGCTCGTCAATCCATGGAAAACGACCTCATCTTCACATTATTTTAATATCTTTTACAGAACCCATGGCCCCTGACATCATGGCAACGTACGGCAGTGAAGAATCCTTACAAGATCGCCGACATTTCAATGTTACCATTGGAAAGGATATCTCCATCTTGCGGGGAAGTCCTCTGACCCTGAAGTGCCCTGTGGTTGGCGTGCCAGAGCCCAAGATAACCTGGATAAAAGATCGAAAAATGCTTTCTTCTAATGATCGCATGAACACGGACTGCATTGGCACACTGGACATCCACAAGGTGGAACTGGAAGATTCCGGGGACTACGCCTGTTCCGCTCAAAGCTTTCTAGGGATGGACATAGCGTTTAGTTCTGTTACGGTTTATGGTAAGAATATATTCGTCAATCCCTTCATTGCTGCTATAAACTATCCTTACAATACACAGGATGAGATTATCGCAGTGGCCTAATGGTTTGCTTGTTAGTCTCCAGATCGCAGTCCGTGTTCGACCGCTATAAATGGGCAGCAGGGAACAGTTAGGGAAAACTCACAAAATACTTTGGTGGGAAAACCGATGATGCCCTAGCTGCTATCTAGGCGTAATAGCAATTCACCTAATCGCTTAATGCAAAAGAAAACGTGAGACGCCGTGGCGGCGGTTCAGTGTATATTTGTTATGCTTGGAGAATGGCAAGTTGATATTTTTAGTGGCGTTCTGTTTAAATTTCTACGCTACAGTTTTTACATTGTTACGTTTATAATCCCCAGTATTAAGATGATTCCTTCAATAAGGGGGCACCTTCATGAGACTCTTAGATGTGAATCTACTTATTGATGTATTTACGTTGCTTTCTTGTTTGTTTGTTTATTATTTAAGTACAACTTTCTTTCTACAGAGGCTGTCAAACCTACTGTTGAAATTTCTGGTAGAGTGTATGTCAGCGGTGGCGATCTTGTAGACATGCACGTAGGCGACAACCTGACTGCTATTCTGACCACTCCTGTCAAAATAAACTGCACAGCTAGAGGAATCCCCAGACCCAAAATGACTTGGAAAATGAACGGACAACAGCTGGGCAATGGTGGAAATTACAAAACTGATAACAGTGGTGCATTGGCTATCAAGGGAGTCGAAGATCCAGGAGAATTCAAATGTATTGCGGAGAACTTCGTCGGTCAAGACGATGCATCGAGTTTTATTTGGCTTTTAGGTATGTTCTGTATAAGTGACTCGTTGCGAAATGAAATGATGGTGACAAAACGTCGTCAGTTCCTCGCTCGCATGGATCCCAATCCAAACCGGGTTTGTATGGCTGCGTGACCTTATATTTAAAGCCCATGCTTTGTTGCGGGACGTTGTACCTGTTCTTCTTATTTCCTGGGATATGTTTCTAGATGGTTTGACGATTAACCAAAATGCTTATTTCACATCACACTATCATAATAGGCATGATTATGACAGAAAGCATGCTTATCGTGGGCATATTACTTTTGATAGATCCTGAGCGGCCTGTAATCATCACTCCCGAAGAGACAACAACAATAGAGGCCAAAGACCGAAGTCCCATCACGTTGACCATTGGTGATAACCTGACAGCACTTACCAATTCAAGCATTACCATTCAGTGTCCCACTAGCGGTGTACCAACACCAACTGTCACGTGGACAAAAGATAACCAAGAAATCACCAATGATGGCAGGTACATAGTTCAAGTTGATGGTTCAATGCTGATAACTGAAGCTGTGGAGGAAGACAGTGCTCGGTACACCTGCATCGCAGAGAGTGTTACTGGAAAAGACAGGGCATCAAGCACGGTGAAGATTGCGGGTAAGATATTTCTTTGCCTCTACTGCCTGACATCACTTCGGACTTAATATCTATCTGTAGCTGATCAATTTTGCGGTACAGTGTAGCTGTAAATGTTAACTGTTGAAGCGACGTGATGTTTACTTCAGTCGACTGACTTTTTCAAATATTCAATAAATCATTTGCAGAGCCCATTAAACCAGTCATTGAGGTTTCTAAACCTGGACAAAAGATTCCCGTTGCTAATGGCAGTCCAGTGATTATGAACGTTGGTGATAGCGTGACAGCAGTTTCCAACACTACCATCACCATTAGGTGTCCAGTTAGAGGAGTACCAACACCAGATGTTACTTGGGAAAAAGACGGAAAGCAAGTTACTCCTAGTGGAAGGTTCTCGATCAGCAGCGATAACACTTTGGTGATTAAGGAGGCAGTAGTTGATGACAGCGCAGAGTACACGTGTAGTGTCAAAAGCGTGGCTGGAACTGACAGCGAATCGTCGACAGTGGAAATAATACGTAAGTTTTTACGTGACAAACAATGACCCATTCCCTCTATCAGATGTGCCTGCAAAGAATCATGGTAGTTGTATTTATCATCTTGGATTGGTAATTTGTTCTGATGAACCACCACGATTCAAGGAAGGCAATTATCATAGAGAGAATGGGTCATCGAGATATGCGGTGGCTAATGGCTAGCACGCAGCACTCCGCATCTCTCTGTTCGGATTCGAACGCTGGTGAGAGCCACTCTGTTGCATTCGTAATCAAGGCAAAGTGTTAGAGCAACATCGCAAAGTCCTTGGGGTAACCTTCGATGGAAAACATTCCTTCCAGGGGCATTAACAATACTACTAGTTTGTGTACTCTTAGTCTTAGCTAAATTCCTAATCTAGTATCTAGTACTTCACGCCACGGAAACCGGGGCACGCTCTGGCAGTTCGTGCTAGTTTGGCCCAGGCGACTATCCGTTTAATAGCAATTCACGTCACTTAAAACAGGATGCGTAACCATGGCCAAAATCTTTTCCTTGGAAAAAGTATTAATTTTCTCTTCTCTTGAAACATTTTGTTCTTTTTCTTGAAAAGCGCCCTCCAAGCCTGTAGTAAAAATCTCTGACAAACCGAAGACAATAGAGGCCAGAGATCGAAGTCCCATCACCATGACGATTGGTGACAACGTGACAGCACTTGCCAATACAAGCATTACCATTCAGTGTCCCACCAGCGGTGTACCAACACCAACTGTCACCTGGACAAAAGATGGTGAAGAAATCACCAATGACGGCAGGTTCACAGTTCAGAATGATGGTTCATTGCTGATCAGTGAAGCTGATGTGGAAGACAGTGCTCGATACACGTGCACTGCAGGGAATGTTGCTGGTAAAAACAGCGCATCAAGCATGGTGAAGATTGCAGGTACTTACTTTCTTATTCCTCTATGTGCTATGTAGCGCCCAAGGCCGAACGGTTTCTTTAGCGTGTGGTCTTTTTACGTGGCAGGGTCACTAGCCCTGCGCACTACCCTTACCCGTTTACATTCTGGGCTTGGATGCAGGCAACGTTTTAGTTAAGAAAGCTGGTAAGTTAAGTGGAAATGGCTAACGAAAATCACAAATGCCTCCAAAAAATATCAAAACTAAAGCAATTCCATGTACGTCATATTCGTTTCTTCAAGTTTGACTTGGTTTTTATATAAAGTACACCTTCATCAGGCTGAAAGTGGTGCTCTTGTTACAAGAAATTTGTTTATGTAACAGAATTGTACTTGAGTGAACAGCGTTCTCAGCGAGAAACATGAATTTCTTATCCTGTAGATTTGAAGAAGCCCTCCATTTTAGTCCAGAAGCCAGGCCCAAGGGTTCCAATTGGAGATGGTAGCCCAGTTGTCACACCGGTTGGAAGTCAAATCACAGAGATTGCCTTTGTTACAATCTCGCTGACGTGTCCCGCCAAAGGCTCACCTCCTCCAAAACTCACTTGGAGAAAAGACGGCGAGGAGTTGGTATCTGGCGATGGATATGTCATTGATAACGAAGGCACGCTGACGATACTACAGGCGGTATTAAAAGACACGGGCAACTACACTTGTTCAGCTCAGAATGAGGCTGGTTTTGAGGAAGTGACTTCATCCATTGAAATTTTAGGTATGTTAAAGAGGTGCTGTTTTGTTTATCAAAACAACTGCCGTGTTGGATGTGTCGATTGTGAAGTGAAATACTGGTTTATTAAAATTTGTTAATCATGATAAAGTAGTAAGGCCGGTAGGCCACACCCTTTCGAGGAGTACCTTGAAGATATCGCGTGAACGTACACATCAGGGAAAGAAACTATCGACTTCCGCTAATTATGATAGTAGTAGTAACAATCTTTTATTAGGAAGCTCCATCACTTAAAGTGGTTTACATAGAGGTCCTAATACTAGATATATACTATATAATGATGCAATTAAAATCTATAAATTAGAGCTAAAACCGA